GGAGACACCATAAATTAACCAAGATACACCGTGGAGTCACCATTAATTAACCAAGATACACCGTGGAGTCACCATTAATTAACCAAGATACACCGTGGAGTCACCATAAATGAACAAAGATACACCGTGGAGTTACCAGAAACTAACCAAGATTCACCGTGTAGTCACCATACATTAACCAAGATACACCGTGGAGTCACCATAAATTAACCAAGCTACACAGTTAAGTCACCACGAATTAACCAAGATACACCGTGGAGTCACCATACATTAACAAAGATACACCGTGGAGTCACCAAAAAATAACCAAGATACACCGTGGAGTCACCATAAATTATCCAAGATACACCATGTAGTCACCATACATTAACTAAGATACACCATGGAGTTACCAGAAACTAACCAAGATACACCGTGGAGTCACCATGAATTAACAAAGATACACCGTGGAGTCACCAGAAACTAACCAAGATACACCGTTGAGTCACCATAAATTAACCAAGATACACCGTTGAGTCACCATAAATTAAGAAAGATACACCGTGGAGTCACCAGAAACTAACCAAGATACACCGTTGAGTCACCATAAATTAACAAAGATACACCGTGGAGTCACCAGAAACTAACCAAGATACACCGTGGAGTCACCATGAATTAACCAAGATACACCGTGGAGTCACCATACATTAACAAAGATACACCGTGTAGTCGCCATACATTAACCAAGCTACACTGTTGAGTCACCATACATTAACAAAGATACACCGTGGAGTCACCAAAAAATAACCAAGATACACCGTGGAGTCACCATAAATTAACCAAGATACACCGTGGAGTCACCATAAATTAACCAAGCTACACAGTTAAGTCACCACGAATTAACCAAGATACACCGTGGAGTTACCAGAAATCATACCAGGATAGAGGGAAAAAATTGTTGATATCTCATGAGCAAAATCAGAAGTCTACTGCAGATGTGGAAGATGGAATAGCAGACGATTGCGGGAAACATTTTATAATAAGCGACCTTTTTATATTCTTAAATCCCACACGACGTGGGTCTACTGTGGTTAACATTTTGTTAAATGTGACTTAACTGCACAAGGTCATCAATAGTTCACCACAAAATAAGTATCAGGATCTTTAGGAAGAACGTCATTGGTATCTTCCTATATGTTGCTCAGTTCTGAAAGGTGGTCAATAAAAAAACCCAGAAACAGGATGTTTTCTAAGATGTCCTAGGTGGATTTTAACAAATATTTTAGCAAAAGACTAACTTTTTAAGACTTAGTGCTACAACAGCTAAAGCGCTTATAAACATAGCAATTTCTGTTCTGATCTAACGAAACTAGATGGACGTGGTTCGTCTATGTCGACCCACGGACTTAGATAACAATCTAATTCCGTGTATCCACTTCCACCTTCTAGAAAACATGGGATAGTAAAATTGGTTTTCTTATGAAAGAATGATGTGCTAACCTAATTCCGTGGTCGACCTGTGCAGCTATTTAAAAGTTCACAGTGGGATGAATACCAACAGAAAAAAAGGAAAAAATAATAACCTATTTTTGTTGTATTTCTTCTATATATGTACGTGTAAACTACTAAGTAAGTTAAAATTTACTTTGTTAAATCTTTTCTGAAAGCGAGGCAAGTATTGTGGCCTATGAGAATTGTTACGTAGACGTACGCTGTTTTCATTGGCGAGCGGCCGATCAGGGTTAATATTGTTTTCGGTATTATTTCAGGGTAGAAATTGAACTAAGAAGAAGGGAATATTATATTTCTGAATATGTAATGATGTGGCAGGATTGAATTTTATCAAATTTATTTGTAATGTTGTATAATAATTGTTGTAGTATAATATGTCCGCTATAGAGGTCAGTAGTGTGACATCAGTATATATCTATTATCTGACTGCATGCATGGCTATACGTAGACGAGAGAGCGACGTCAACGACGACTGACAAGACTATAAGTGAGAGTTGAATACGTGTACAGACTATATATATATATGAGCTTGACATGTTGTAACGCCTTCTGCCACATAGAGGGTAATATTTATCTACAATAAATAACTGGTGTTCGGTATCAAAACGTCGAGCTTGGGTTGTTTATTCACCCACAAATACCTCTCGGTTTCAATAATAAACAATTTCAAGTTTTACCGAGCGGAGCAAAGCAGCGCGAATTAACTTCTGATGATAGGACGTCTTTCACTTTTGAAATCAAGTCGAGACAAATGATATTTTCTGTAGTTAGAGGTTTTCTTTCTCCCACCAAAGAACGGTAAAGATATAGAGAAAGAGCGTTTAAGTCTTTTATTTGTGTTGTTTAATTTATAATAATAAATAGCAAGAGTGACACCACTACACAAGGGCGGAGATAAGGATATTCTAGATAATTACAGACCAATAGCTATTACTACCTACTATATCCAAAATGTTTGAGAGACATTTCAAATCACTTATATCAATATTTATTGAAGTATGACCTTTTGCATAGCTCGCAATCAGGCTTGCGAGCGAAACACTCATGTCAGACTGCCCTAGTTAACCTAATTGATAAATGGATTGAGGGTATTGACAATAATGAAGTAATTGGTACAGTGTTTATTGATTTAAGAAAGGCCTTTGACTTGGTGGATCATGACATTCTTCTACATAAACTTAAGATACTAAATATCTCTAGCACCAGTGTGAACACGCTAACATCATACTTAGAAAATAGAGTGCAATCTGTCAAATCAAACAATATTTCATCTTCACCTAAAGTAATTAGGTCAGGTGTTCCTCAAGGCTCAATACTTGGGCCGTTACTATTCATTATATATATAAATGATATGCCATTATATGTACAAAATTGTTTGATTGACATGTATGCGGATGATAGTACAATGCATTTGAAAGGAGATAACTCCTCTGCTATTGCAGATAATCTCCAAGATAATCTAAATCATATAGTGAGATGGTGTGTGAATAATAACATGAAATTGAATAAGCCAGCAAACATAAACTTGCAAATCTAAATCCATTACGTTTCGTAGTAGACAATGACGAAATTGCGTCTTCCTCCTGTCAAAAGGTTCTAGGTATGTATATTGATAACAATCTAAGTTGGGTAACCCAAGTGAAACAAGTATCTTCCAAATTAACAACTTCTGTTGCACTTTTGCGTAGAATGGCAGGCTATTTGAATCAAGAAGCCCGAAAAGTTTACTATAACGCCTATATATTGCCAATACTGGACTATGCTGCTATTGTGTGGGGAAATGGTTTAACAATTGAACAAGGAAATTATATCACTAAAATCCAGAAAAAGGCTATACGTATTGTACTAAATAAGCCCATCTTAACTCCAAGCATTGAACTCTTTAAAGAATGTGATACTCTCCCTTTTAATTACAGAGTTAAATATCATACTTGTATATAAGTATACAAAGCACTTAATGATTTAGCACCAGGCTACATTAAATCTAACCTAAGTCTATGCCATGATACATATAACTATGGATTAAGATCTACTTCTCATAATAATCTAGTTATACCAAGACACAACACTGAATTCTTCAAAAAATCTTTCAACTATACCGGTGTTGTGTCGTGGAATAATCTTCCAAACCAAATTAAGAATAATATAACAGTCAGAAGATAATAATAATAATAATAATAATAATAGACATTACAACACATGTAATTCTAGTCAGTTTACAGTAATCTCATTAATTAATTGTGTTTGTAGTTTGTAGTTATATCATATCATTGTTTTATGTAATCTCTTTATGCATTCATGTACTATATGTGTTTGAGGGCCGCATGGAAGATTAGTCTTGTACTAAATGTGTAACACTCTTTAAATAAAGTTGAAATTATTATTATTATTATTATTAGTAGTAGTATGTGAATTGCAGAAATGTTCATTCAACCCTGTTTGGCAAATTCAAAGGTTAGTCATTTTTGGGGGTTTGAAATCATGCAATATCGGTCAAGGTGATATTGTATGAAAATTAGCCGATATATGTAGACTACCATGGATATAGATTCCTATAAACCAATTATATATTTAGTGTAATTTTTGTCAAGTCAATAAAAACCAATATCTTGTATTTGTCTTTTAGTATATGATGTACCACCGAATTACCTTAGTCATTGATAATACTGCAGATATATGTATATATGAAGTCATAGTGATAGCTGGTCTTGTTATACTTTAAATTGTTCATGCTCATTGAATGCCATAAAGGATAAAATAAAAACAAACTTAAATTGATTTTGATATGCTATTTTTTTCGGTTATTAATTATAACTTTATCAATTAGTTTGAGGTTCTGATCACATGGTAAGAGAGATAACTCCTGTGGTCTTTAACACCTGTATCACCCAGTATGGAAAACTAAACTTAATGGTCTGAAACACATTTGCATGTAGGCCGAGTTTAAAAACAGTGTGTCATATGCTGGTAATACTTAAGCGCTAACATTTGTTGTTTTGTGATTTATAGCCACAGAAATACATCTTAAACTAATCATCGAAAATGAGGCAAATATAGGCCTATAATATAAAGCCAAAACCGTTATTATAAACAGTGAATATATCAAGCCAGTGATCAAACGTGTTCTGTAATTCTATGTCTGCGTTTAGTAATTCAGAGAAGTAATTAATAACTATATATTTTATTAATAGGGGAGGAAACATGCTTTATCAAAAACCATTTGCATACAAAGTATATTACTATATAATTTTTCATATTTATAGGCACATATGACTACACCAGTATTTATATTATGTAGGTTAGGCCTAGAATGTATCATACAAGGTCAGGTACCTAATTGTCTTGTTTATTGTTCAATACACATTTAGAAACATCGTAACACGCTGCGTAACACCGACTTCAAATAAAGATCTACGCGATGGAAAGTGTATATATGTGTCCTGTTGTATAGTTGCTATGTGAAAGCGTCTAAGTTGTCAAGTGCAAACTTGATTTGGTCACGTGATACCAACAAATATGGCGTACGTCTGAAACGGGCACCTGTTTGGAAGTGGCTGTCATCACACAGCGTTAATTGCCATAAAGAGCCACCACGGGTGAGTCGTTGATGATGATTTAGGTAACATATTCATGCATCTATTATTAACAACTATCTTTATTGAGGTGTCATGTGAATTGAAGGAAATAACGGACAAAATTATCAGTTTTTAAAGTTCCAATTATTTCTTGTTTGATATATTTTTATTGTAAGATCTGGACATCTGTCAAGTTTGTTTATTTATATTTTTTTCTACGTATGGAAACGTGCGCTGTATCGGGAATTACATAATTGTGTATAAGTTACCTATAAGTAAAAAAGTAAGTTTTCACCGATAGTAATATATATATACATATGTCGATTGAATTCATGCACACTTGATAATCTTAGTCTATACGTCTCTGGTCTATATATAAAATAATTCCAAATATGGACATGCATATTTCCCTTCTTTATAACATTCATTCAATAAAGTCTGTTTTTGTTTGCATGTTTGTAAGATATGAAGACATGTGATTAACTTGAATGTTGGACCTTTCTATATATAATATAATTGTAAAACATTTTTAATATGTCCAGTTTGTTTAGAGTATATATATATATATATGGGGCAAAGAAGTAATTCCAACAGTGTGGACAAGTTTAAGTTGTCAAATTTTCGAAGTGATCCGCTCTTTTTTCAAGACACAGTGAAACAGAACAGTTACATGTACATATACATTTATGCACCTCTCTTAGAAGGATTTTTTAAATATAAAATTATAGGTAAGACATGAAATTCAGTTCGGAGTAATGAATTATTGGTATATAATTAATTAATTCTTGAATATGCATACTAGCCAACTTTTTGAAATTTCCATAGGGGAGATATGCATGCGTACTCAGAATTAAAAAAATAATTAAATAAAATCTGTTTATGTATGTGTACACCCTACTGGGAACAAATAGCACTTGTTAATGGCATCAATTCACTGGTTGAAGTTAATGCTCAATGTTAGGGTCAAAAACCGGGAGTCAATCTCCCTCCAAACGGGAAATGTATTACTGTACATAAATCAACTTAATCTTATGTATGTGTGTTGATCACTGAGTTGACTTAAGTTCTGAAGATATCACTCAGGGAACTGTCGAAGGGGTATGCATGCTGCACTAGTCAGATTTTTGTAGTCTGTGTTTGAAATTTTCCAAATCATCCACCAAAACACAATATTCGTCTAAACTTTTCCGGTCCTTTAAATTGTTCGCGGGGGAAAAAACCTGTATTTGAATATATCACAATTTGATGTTTTTATTTTAAATGTCTTTGAGTACTGTTATGCAGGTCAGCTAGACTACAGCAGACCAAAACATTGTTAAAATGTCAAACCTGATGTTTATAAGTCAGCTGAACTACAAATCCATGCATGTCTTTAAATCGATATATATTCTCACCAGCACCTGACCCTCCCAACTATATATATATAACCACCTTCATAATCCCATACATTATTTTAATCTCCATTGATCCACAAAGGATTTCAAAAGGATGAGGAAATGTTTTAACATTAATATTAAACATATATATACCCAACACCACCCATCATTCTAGATGGGTCACAAGTTCAAATGTAAGGGGAAATACGGTGAAAAGGGAGCTGATTATGAGGATTTTAAGAGAACCAGATGCACACCTCAACACAGATTGTCAGATGACACATAGATTTGATGATATTTAAACACGTAACAAGTATAAAAGAAGAGGTACATGGTTTTACTAGGTCAGTGTACATGTGATGACAGCTAGATTTTACAATTATGATGCTGAAATTCAGCAGTTTTATAATTATCATCATTTTTGTTCTAAATAGGATTAAAAGAAAATTATCACAGGACAAGGTATACCTTTTTTTTTACTGAATTTATATGTTTGACATAAAACAATTACCAGGTAAAAAAGCATAAATAAATGTTTACATGTTTATATAGATACAAAAGCTATTATGAGTATTAAGAAAAAAGAGGCAACTAATTGCCAAGGAATTTGTAATGTATATGTTGACAATTGCATGACTGTTATGATTTGTAACTCATGCCAAGAGTGTTGCATTTTCTTAATTCTTGTTAATATAGTTCCTTATTGGTGCTGTCAGTTTTCAATTAAAAAAAAATCTGTTTTTAACTTTTTATATTTCTTGCTTTCTATACTGGAGCAGTAAAATTGGTCTAGGTGGTCTTCACGTTTTGAAGAAGAAGAACAAAGTCAATTTCATAAACAATACATAGATGTTTGTTGCCTTAATTGATTGCTGTATGGCCATTTAAGTTAAGGATCCTTGTCCCAGTAGCCAAAACACTAGGGAATTCCACTGAGTATAATTACTTCTCCTACATTTTGCATCAGGCTAAGCGATATACCATTGACTGTATAGCTATAGATCTGTTGGTTATATATAGAGCAGCAGTTAAAGTATTCGAGGTCCAGGGTTCCAACTCTGGTCTGATTCTGTTCCAGTTTTACACTCAGAGCTTGATATTCCTTTAGTATTTCATCCTTGTTAGTTTTTCTCAGAAGTTCCACAAGCTATTGCTTTCTGTTCAGAAATGATTTTATATTCATATTGCAGAAAATGAGTTTCAAAAGTACAGTACCAGTGTTAGGCAGTGGTATGGGCATCCTTAAATTCTATACGGTATCCATTTGATGTGTTTTAAAAATTAAGTGTAACAGAAGAAGGAAAAATGCACAGCCAGACCAGGTTTGAACTCGGGACCCTCCTAACTCTAGACAGATGCTCTACCAATTAAGCTACCTGGTTGCTGACGGTCGACCCACTCCAGTTCTGCTACATTCCTCCCTCCCTTTTCTAAGTCTTCGCCCCCGAAGACACAACTATTTATAACTTGGGTTCGGGTATCCCCATTGCCAAGCATACACCAAATGCTTGAAACAAGGATTGGTCACAGGCACCACTGTAACAGGAGATGGAAAAATTGCACTGCCAGACCGGGGTTCGTACCCGGGGCCCTCCAAACTCTAGACTGATACTCTACCAATTGAGCTACCTGATGGCTGACGATCGACCCAGTTCTGTTCCGCTAAATAAGTAATTAGGACAATGAACAACAGAAACTTTGAAAAGAGAAATAAGTTAATTATATGTGGCGAAAATAGGATTGTTAAGTGAACATGGTCTAAGTGATGGTGGGGATATAATAATTTGATATTGACATGTAGCCAGGCTCTCATACAATGAATGCATCTAATATAAGTCTGTTTCTTCTGGGTCGTATCTTCTTATACTTGTTGTAAACTTAGATTTAGGATTAATATAAAGTTTATATATATATATATATATATATTGATAACTGGAGTTTTTAATATAGTGTCTTTGAATATTAATAAAATCAATGCATCGTTTGTAAAATTTAAAAGGCTGCTATGAAATAATATTGAAAAAAAGAAGAGGTAAAAAAACCACCCCTCATTATATATAATGTTCAAATTTATTTTATTAACTTATTCATCAATTCTGATTTTTTTTTATATAGATCTATCTAAACATGACTTCCTTTCCGTTGTCAGAAAGGGGCATTGTAGAAAATAATGAAATTCATCACCATTATATTTGATATCACAATATATATTTATGTTTTGATGATCACTTGTTCTATCTTCCAGTTTCCTCTCTAAATTTATGATTGCTAGTTCAAAATATAGTTTTGAGATATCCTTTTTTCATACATTCTTAGCTATAACATGCTGATTTCAGCTACTTGTACGAATGTCAACTTTTTACCATGCGTTGTACAGATATGTATAAACTATGATTATCAAAACATATCACCGATACAGGCTATGGTATGGTATGTACAGTGACACAAAACATTTAACTCTATTGTGAACTGATTTCATGGTCAGGTGAGTTCATTGAGACACATACTTCATGCCCGACTCTATTGTAACGAGGCTGTACTAGTAATAAGTATTATATAGACTTCTATTACAGGGTTTGACATATAAATCTTCATTACCCAACACAGTTCAACTCAACCTTTAATTTTATATCAGTTGATATTGTAAGATTATCTGTTCTTCCCCCCCTCCTTTGATCTCTTCTGTATGTTTTTATTAAGTTGAAATATATTTTCTGTGTTGAAACTAGACTGAATCAATTGCTAGTGACCTTTAAGGTTTGATTTAGCATGATCAGATGGCTGGAGTGACCGTCCTTGGTTGGATTGAATGCATCCAAAGTTCAGTGGTTATATTTAGTGAGTGGTACAATCATCCTTAAGTTTATTTTCATTTGTAAAATTCGTTCATATGCTAGTTTTGAGGACCAAATGTGCTTTGATCTATAGCAACATCATACTTTAGGGTCAAACGTCGCCATACAGGTTTGTTTTCGGTTTCCTTCTTCAATGTTTTTTTAACTCATTCACCCCTGAGGTTTCATAATAAACAATTCCAACCTTTGAATTGGAAGAGTTCAAATGTGTCTTAAGGGGTGAATGAGTTAGAAGAAACCTTAAATACTATTTTAAATAGCTTTAAAATATGGTACGTCAAGGGAAGAGGTTTAGGTCATTTGAGGTAAAAATGCGTATGTTTGTCCATAACATTCTTCTTTAATGAAACTATTTTAAGGAGATTTTATACACCGGTCATTTGTAAATTAGCACTTTTGTATCCCCAGCTCAGAAATCAAGGTCACAGGTTGAGGTCAGAGTTCACTACTTCTCTCAAAATGATTTCATCAAAACATTCAGTAAAAACTGACATAATGGTAAACATGTATTTATGACATGACACTCCCCCATTTTTAGACTCACGTTTCAAGGCCAACACAAAACTGCACTAAGAGTTTGAATGTGAAATTGCTTCTGGGCTGCATGCATGTATACTGATGTTAGTGTTGGGAATCAGTTGTGATTTCAACATCGATGATAGGATATAATCGGTTAGTGTCAACTGATCGATTTTCGACTATTAATCGGGTAGTCTACCATTTCATAATCCTTAAAAAAAATCCTTTTTTTAACAATGGCATGGCTTTTCCTTTTATTAATACTACTAATGCAATTTCAACTTTTTCGCGTAGTTTGGTATCTTTATTTTTTATCATACCATTTCAACGTAACAATCTTTATTGATGAACAGTTATCATTTATATTTTTTGCAATTAATTATGTTTAAATAGCATGATTGGTAATATAAGAAGTTATATTTAAGAGTAAAATGACATAGTAATGCCTTTCTCTCTTAGTGAAAATGAAAGTAGAACTCGCACTTTCGGTTTTGAAAACAATCATTGATGTTGACATCTCATTTCGATTGTCGGGAATCGGTTGCCTTTCCGATTAGTTATCGATTATAATCGATCATCGTGACAACACTAACTGATATGTTATTTTGATTATAACCTTATATGCTGCACAGCTACGTCAATCTGTACCCCTGTTGATCAATAAGGGTTGCTCTGTAGAGAACCATTACTCAAAGGATTAACAGCTTCACAAAGGAAGACATATTTTTTTAATGCAAATTTTTAGACATGCTTTATAACTCATAAAGGGATATATATAGGTCAGATGTATGACTCATTGCTTAACGTTATATTATAACCATGCATCTAGTTTAATATATAGTCAGAGTCCGCATTAATAGGGTTCAGCGAATTCTGCATTATTAGATTGTGTTAATTAAGTCAGAGTTTCAGGGGGGACAACTCACCACCATTCACAAGTGTAATGTGTAAGGTTGTAGGCATTGGTTATGTCAGATCTTTGAGTGATTCTCTTAAGAGCAGAAAGGTGTTGCACTGGGTTTATAGCAATACTTTTCTCTACAGTTTCAATTAGTACCTTCATCTTTTGTGTAATGTATTGTATGTTTATACATTATAAAAATAGATAAATGCTTGATGGTAATGATATTTAACTTTTGGGGTGTATCTAAAAATATAAAAAAAAAAATTGTGTTTGGATTTCGGTGCAGAAATAAAATACTTTTATGTGGTAGATAATAGATAGCTGTCATATTCTGTTTTATGTTAAGGTAGATGGTGTATTCAAAGCTTTAGGTGGTAGAATGAGTCCTGAGGACCCCAGGTATATATGTATTGCAAGCGGTGTATTATTTGTTATCGTACTTATATATGACAAAAGAAAGTTTTCGTTTTGTGTAGACAAAGAAAGCATTAGCGCTGAATGTGTTTTGTAGACTTACACATTTACAGGTACGAGTGACAGGTTGACGATAATTGTATAATATAGATTTATGGGTCAGATTAACTGTGGACAGGTTTAGAACTGTATTGGTCCTATACAGAGGTACTGCCCTGTGGAGTGTGGAATGTCCTCTGGTGCTCTGCCAAACTTTAATTCTAGACTCAATGGTGTACTAAATCTAGACCCAAACTGATCAGGTAAATGGAAAGTTTCATTGTCAAGTGTAGATTTATAATCACTTGCAAATATTAATAAATATTATTTTACTTACACATGTAAAAACTAATTTGTATGCAGAGAAGAGATTTCTAAAAAATTGTTTTCTGGTAAAATATGTACTAAATGTAAATTTAATGTATGTGCCGTACCAGACTGACAAAAGCTAACGGTATTGGATTGTTTTTCAGCTAATACCCAAAAGAGAATTTAATACTTATAAGGTTAAGCAATTTAGCCAGCGATCAAGGTCTAACAAAATCATTATGTTGAATTTCTTTCATTATATTTTTCAGATTCATCTAAGACAATTGGGTATGGCTTAGATTCAGAGCTGTGAGTGTTGCCATGGAAATAGAGGATTTTACATTAGAACAATTGTTGGATTATAATTTGAAAGTGACTGGCTTAATTTGATTGGATGATAAGACAACAGAAGGCGGGGCTCGAGAGGAGCATGATGCAGGGCATGAAGCCTAGCTCCTCCGTCAGTTCCCTGGCATCAGCAGAAAAGCAAGGTAATTAATACTGTATATACCCCGGTATATACTATCATGTATAGCTGAGGTGTATATATAGCTACATGATAGAGAAGATAATCTTGTGCACTGTAGTGAACTCCAGCTAGTGTACATAGTTGTGAACTCGAGTGCACAAGCCAACTAGTGCACTGGAGTTAAGTTTTCTTATAATAATAATAATAATTTGAGGTTCTTATATACCGCTTTTTCACAACCAGTAATAGTTCGTAGGTTGTCTCAAAGTGGTTCACAAATTATTATCCGTGGTTACAGGGCCTTTGAAACCAGCCAATAACTTTCTCAACTCCCCGGGGAGCATACAGCCGGAGCTGCCATTTCGGCGCTGACAGCTAACATTTAACAATTCTAGCACTGTTCACCAACATACTCATTTACAGCTGAGTAGACTGGAACAAGCAGAGTTAAGTATCTTGCTCAAAGATACAACACAGTGCCGTGACGTGACTCGAACACGCAACCCTTCGGTCACGAGCTCGGTGTCCTACCACTAGACTACCACTCCTGTACACTAGACTACCACTCCTGTACACTACACTACCACTCCTGTACACTACACTACCACTCCTGTACACTACACTACCACTCCTGTACACTAGACTACTACTCCTGTACATTAGACTACCACTCCTGTACACTACACTACCACTCCTGTACACTAGACTACCACCCCTGTACACTAGACTACCACTCCTGTACATTAGACTACCACTCCTGTACACTACACTACCACTCCTGTTTGTGAGTATATCAGGTTTGTGAGTATATCAAGTTTGTGAGTATATCAAGTTTGTGAGTATAACAGGTTTGTGAGTTTATCAGGTTTGTGAGTATATCAAGTTTGTGAGTATGACAGGATTGTGAGTTTAACAGGTTTGTGAGTATATCAGGTTTGTGAGTACATCAGGTTTTTGAGTATATCAGGTTTGTGAGTATGACAGGATTGTGAGTTTAACAGGTTTGTGAGTATATCAGGTTTGTGAGTATATCAAGTTTGTGAGTATATCAGGTTTGTGAGTATAACAGGTTTGTGAGTATATCAAGTTTGTGAGTATATCAAGTTTGTGAGTATAACAGGTTTGTGAGTTTATCAGGTTTGTGAGTATATCAAGTTTGTGAGTATGACAGGATTGTGAGTTTAACAGGTTTGTGAGTATATCAGGTTTGTGAGTACATCAGGTTTTTGAGTATATCAGGTTTGTGAGTATGACAGGATTGTGAGTTTAACAGGTTTGTGAGTATATCAGGTTTGTGAGTATATCAAGTTTGTGAGTATATCAGGTTTGTGAGTATAACAGGTTTGTGAGTTTATCAGGTTTGTGAGTATATCAAGTTTGTGAGTATGACAGGATTGTGAGTTTAACAGGTTTGTGAGTATATCAGGTTTGTGAGTACATCAGGTTTTTGAGTATATCAGGTTTGTGAGTATGACAGGATTGTGAGTTTAACAGGTTTGTGAGTATATCAGGTTTGTGAGTATATCAAGTTTGTGAGTATATCAGGTTTGTGAGTATATCAGGTTTGTGAGTATATCAAGTTTGTGAGTATATCAAGTTTGTGAGTATAACAGGTTTGTGAGTTTATCAGGTTAAAATATATGAATGTAACACATTTGTGTGTATATCGAGTTTGTGAGTATATATATATATTATATATACCGCTTAATATTCTATATATATATATATAACAAGTTTGTGAGTATATATATATATATATATATATCAAGTTTGTGAGTATAAAAGTTTATGAGTAATATATATATTACAGGTCGGTTGATGAGAATAATGGTCAATTTATAACTGGTATCTTACAGTTGTATAAGTACATATAAGCAGGTTTATGAGTATAACGGCAAAATGTATGCGTGTATGATCAAATGCTTAAATATGGCCGACATGTGCATGACTCATGTTTATACGTACGCATAACCTTTGCAACCATGATAAATATATACAAGTGTATAAGCCATATGTTTAATATCTGAATTCACATATTTAAACTGCACTAAATATATAGTCTATATGTTTACAAAAATTACAAAGGTGTCAAAATATGAGTTAATAAAGACTGTCATTGACTTCCTCCTAGATAAAGACATGTTTGATTTTCTTTCAAAAAATAAAAAAATAAAATGATTTCTATGAGCCCTTAGCCAAATCAATATCATATACAAAGATAAACTTGTACAACCAAATTTATGTAGTCCAAAATCTTATCATTCAGACTTCAATGTAAACAGTGTAGATTCAAGTAATTATAAGTTTGTATGCTTTAAACTTTATTGGTGTGAAATGATCTGGAATAATTTCTTATTTTCAAGCAGAAAATTCTGTAAAGCAGACTTTGTTCTCTAGAAAAGTTGTCTTCAAATTAAGAAAAAAAATAACTGGAAAACATCTTCATTTAGTAATGTCAATCAAAATTTCGAAAAAGGAAGTAATTAAATATAATTGATCAAATCAAACAGAATCCCAGTTGGCGTGGGACAGTAAGACATGATTCATAAGGATTGAACGTCACTTTTCAATTTCATATCCTTAAATTTATTGTAAATTTTATTCTCCATATTAAAGTTTCTCTGTAGTCAGTGCAAACGCGATTCATGAAACAGCCTAACATCACCTAAATGTTTGCTTCTAAGGGTTTTCTCATGTTATTCAAGGCGGGCGGGGAAGCTTCAAAATGACGCTGATCCAATTCTGTTCATAGTCCTATGAACGCAATTTCCTATGGTAATGCTTACAGAGGAACTTGCAGTGGAAATGTAAATATAAGTATGTATACTTTCAAACACATGAAAGAGAATATGTACCACAGTGACTCAGACACAATGAAGTGAATGATCTGTTTAAATAGAGTTGGAATTGATTGCATTTCAAATTTTATTTCTAAAATTTGGGTAAATGAGGATCACGTTAATTTCAGATGGTCACTGAGCTAAGTGAGCAAGCAGAGGAAGGCAACATAATAACCGCTCAGTGTCCAGTACTTTTGTAGCTAATGTCGAAGATAACATATAATAATTCAAAACAGATAAAATCCATGACTGGTTCAAAAGGAAATATGGCGAACAGGATATAGTGTTTACTTGCGGCAAACTTTTTTTTTGAGTGATGTGTCATGTTCACTCTGATCAGCAAACAGTTATGCATGTACACCTATGCAATTTTCACCTGAATTGTTCGATAGATAAAAATCCCGATAGATGTATACAGGTATTTAGTTTGATATTCCTCCGAATTTTTAGTGGTCTGTCAACAGCCTTTCCCTAAAATCAACATTGATTACTCTGTAAATTACAGCCTATTGTCAGCGATATTTTGTGGGTGATGTTGAAGGATCGCTCACAGAAGGTGATTGGTCTGGATTGTTTAATGACGTCTAAATCAATACAACACTTAACAGTAGGTAGAGATGTCTTCTCAGTATGTTAGATTATCAGAATAAGTGTTTAATTAAAATGATTTTTGTTTTGTTTTATTAGATCAAAGTCTTTTCATTTGGTCATACCAATAAGTTTATAATTGCAAAATTTGTTCAGATCGTTGGTCAGTAATTGTCTTGACAGTTTCGTTAAAAAAGTTTTGGGATTGAGGATGCTGACAAATCTCACAACAATATCCATAGGTTTGATGGGATTTAATCTAAATTAATATCATAACCGGTAATGTAGCAGAACATTGATCAGACAGGTATAAACAGGTACCACTGGAAACGTGTTGTACATATGATTTATCCCGAGGCGGAACATCAAACAGGAATACCTGGGATGTTAAATCTACGCTGGAGGAGATCATTTCTCGATACATTTCCTGCTTTATTTCACCATTAAATGGAGAACCTGGATAATTGGCAACACAGAACAGTGCAGACTTCCTGTTTTGCAGACATGAAATAATGGGTCTTCGGAGCAGTGGCTAATTCATGAATAAAGCCTGTCTCACAGACATTAAAAATAGTTAATATTTCATCTTTGCCATTCTGATTCAAATCAATTCTTTTAATCACTCCGTATCCAGTTATTTCGCTTATTCAATTAACAAAAAGGTAAAAAAGGTAGAATAACACATCGAGGCAAAGGTAAAATGTGAGAACCCTTGGTTTGAAAGTAATATTTGTCCCACCTATATCTACACTCAAAAAAACCCATCTGCCACTGGTTACCTTACAACTTGTTGCAGAAGGGATTTGGAACTGTGAAAATGCAATGAGATATTGCTTCATAACAATTTGGTTTGTTTGTGTTTTACGTCCTATTAAAGCTAAAGGACAATCGCCAGGTTTGGTGATGGAGGAAAGCCGGAGTTCCAGGAGAAAAAACACAGACCTACGGCCAGTACCTGGCGACTGCTCCACGTAGGCCTTGAACCAGCGACCCCATGGTGCAGGGCTAGTGGTAGCAGAATGTCACACGCCTTAACCACTTGCCCCCCC